ACTACAATGGAGACTCTAGGTACTGATGTTTGGGATCAAGAGTTTGGGGCTTAGTGTTTAAGGGTTCGAGGCGCAGGTATGTAAGACAGAGATATAGTCAGTGCTTTCTGAATGGGTTCATCTAAAGCATGCCCTAAACTCCTGTCCAGTTCTGTCCAAAGCACGAGTCATCGACGTCAAGATTTCATGTTACCTGTTTAGTTGTTGATGTTCCTGCATGCAGTCGTGCTATGTAAGCTTATACTTGGATATCCATCCCAGTGGACCTTAAACCGTAAACCCTAACATCCACCCGAGTGGTTTTAGGGGGGTTGCCCGTTTGGACTCCATAGTCAGAGCCTTTCGCCGCACTTGAGCCATGCCAAACCCGTTTGCGGCAGCGGTGAAGCTGTGCACGGGGATTGCCAAAGTAATGGAGGCTCTCAACGACACCCCGCCCGTAACGCTCCATGAGCAGAAAGGAGACTTTCTTTGCTTCCGCCTCCCAGTGTTTGGAGCTGGCACGGTGCAACACCGCATCGCCCATGGTGCACTGCAAGCGGCAACAATCGGTGTCGGCAGTTACATGAACCAGGCGCTGGCAACAATCAAGGTGCGCACGAAAGGGAAGTATGAGGCCGTCATCACGAAGGTCGCAATGAAGTTTGGCCAAAGCTCGCGCGAAGCATCCGTGATCCACGACACCATCGTCGATAACGTCCAAGACAGTGACCTCAAGAATATCGAAGTCGAGTACCGCTATTCCGCTTACTTCGAACCTTTCAATCTGTTCGGGCGCAGCCCGGCGATTCACCAATACCACATTACCATCAGCATCCCATAGCCGTCGTGTGTCGATGCGTTGAACCCTGCCGGATGACATGTCGTACAGAGTCAGTGGCAGCAGTGTGGCGAGGAAAAAAGCGATCTTGAGCTTCAGGAGGTAATCCAGGCAGATGCCAGCGCATGCCGGTTTAGGTTTTCATCCGTGCTGGGCTCCAATGATAATGCAGAACTCCACTTGTCTGGCCTGCGCAGGTTCTAGCAGCAAGTAGAGCTCATAAGGTTTCGCGGTCTTGAGCCGCTTTTCTTTTCTTTGAGTTCGATTCGTTGTGTTTGGGCGTGCTGTACCGCGCCATAATATTGCCATGGTTTTCGATGCTTTATTACCCTATTCTGATTACTAAGGCCGCTATATTAACTATCCTAAACCCTAAACCCCCCTAAACCCTTGCCCAGTCTTCGTCGGGCCTGGACTGAACCCTGTCGCTCCTCACTCTCGATCCACTTCGCGGCAGACAAGAAGAATGAACCCCTAAACCCTAAACCCGAGGCCCTAAACGGATCCGTTTATTTAGGCCTTAAGCCGTAATATTAGTCTCAACCTAGTCATAGTAGCAGCAAGTAGCAGAGGATGCAGAGATACCCATCAGCGCCCAGGAGGATGGGAAGCCTCAAATCTCCAACCCTTCAAGGTGTTTTGGGGATTCGGGCCTCGTGGTTTAGGGTTCAGGATGGTATAGGTTTAGGTACTAAACTCAAAAACCCAAACCCGAAGCCCTAAAC